CATACACTTACTTGTATGTTGTACTCTAAGACTTGTATTTGATCTACAGATGAATGATGGAATAGCGTAATTTACTTCTGTACATCAATTCGGTTGCACTGTATTTCAGTGGGCAGCTTTTAAAAGTTAAAAGTGCAAGCATAATACACATAAGTAACATAACACTGTATCGTATTTACTTAATGTAGAGCAGTTGCACTTTATCCCAGGGGAGGGCATAATTATTAATTAATAGGCAGTATAGGCCAGAGAAAATTTTGCGCCCCTTCACACCTGCACCCGGGGCGACTGCCCCCCTCTTGCTACACCACTGCTTGGATATCCATGTCAGCTTCTTGTATAATTGGAATGTTAACACAACATTTAAGGTCAACAAGAGACCTGTTAGTCAATCTCATCCTCTAAAATTATCTATTTAAAAAATAACTCAGAGCTAACCATAATCATTCAAATATTTATCGAGCCTTCTCTAACATTTACTGCTTTCACCATATCTGACGACAACCCATTCCAAATTCTAACTATCCTGTTATAAAAATAAAACTTAACATGACTCTTACCCTGCCTAAATTTATATTTGTGTTCCCCTGTCCTACTATTCTAATCTTTAAATATAAAAAAATATCGTGAGCTGTCCTCACTACTTCCCTTATGCATTGCCATAACCATGATCTCCTGCTGTTTATTAGTTATGGGTCTTTCTGAAAATGTAGGTCTTTCATTAACCCAGAAACCATAACTTCACTGAAGAATATCACTAAACTAAGGATCAGATGATATCCACGGAGATGGTACATATTGGATTAGTGTAATAACTAGAAATGACAATGGTAACTTTGAACAACTGAAAAAGTAGCACTTCCTAGTGCTTTTTACAGACACTATTGGAATGTACTTCCTATATCTTACGCATAATATTTGACCCATATGCTAATTTCTTCACTCTACAGAATGTTCCAAATATCAATATCAGTACTGACTTTATATCCACCCTGTTCATGATAAAATGTGAATTAACCCATTCACTGCAGCTGAGATGTATATTTCCTAGTACACTAGGAAATATACATCCCAGCCACGGTGAAAGGGTTAAGGTTATTGGATAACCTTCGGTAAATATTAAAATATATTAAAACTGTTCAAGCACATGTTTTAAGAAAAAACAAGGCTCTGATCACTAACCTTTCTTTCTTTTTCCTCGACGTATTCGTACAGGACATAAAAATGCCATATTTTCTTACTGTATTATACAGTCTATGATTTCTTACTTAATCCAATTCTGCATGATCCACATTTTCTTCACAGTGACACTTAAGGAAACAAACAAAGGAAGTTATTGAAAAAAGAACAACAGACAATGGATCATCCCACATTTATGTCCTTATAGTAAGGCTGTGGTGAATAGATATCAATCACTGTAATGATTAGTAGACTATTTGATCAAAATCTAATTAGTAATTGGCTATTTTGAATCATTAGATACTAATTACTATTTACCCTACGTTTAAACTGCATTGTTGCCAAGTCTGCTTATATGATTGTGAACTTTCTGGCCCACTCGCTTGAAACATTTGATATCCCAATTAAGCTGTACAAATCCCCATTTTGAGGATAGCCATAAAAGAGCAATTTTTGAAATAAAAGCAGTGCTGCTCAATTTTCTCATGAGATTTGGCAATACTGTTAATCTGTCATCTTCAAGGAAATTCTAAAAAGAACAGTTTTTATGGTGGCAGTGATCAGGACTTGATCCTAGGTCTTCTTGATGGAGAGACTAATGTAATATCTCCCTAGTCAACCAAGAAGACTCAGAATCAAATCCCAGCTATTACTACCAACAAAACAGCCTTTCTCAGGACTTTCCTGAAGTTGGCAACATAGTAGTAGCCGAAACACAGGATAATAATTGATTAGTAACTAATGAAAATAAAAAAGTAACAATAGTTAGACATGGAGTGATTGCATAGTTTATTAACTGAGAACAGTCACAAATTTATGTTTAGATATGCCTATGATCTGTAGTAGGGTAGTAATGATTAACTGTATAAGCTAAATTGTTCATGTATAACTAACTTCACCAATTACAAAATATCCAAAATAGAACTTGATTGATTGTACAGACTGTATGTTGAAGCTCAACTAAATACAAATATAATTATTCTTTGCTTTATAATATTAAGCCTCTTCTCATAGCTTAAAAGTCCTTCAATTAAGAATCATTCTATTATCCCATCTTTGCAATTTTTCAGCTTACTAATAAACTTTTTGTAATTATGGACCAAAACTGCATTTTGAACTCCAAATGCAACCTCACCAGTCTCATAAAAGATTAAAATAACTGTTTTGCTATTAAATTCCTAATTCTTATAAAGAGAACCTAGAACTCTATTTGTCCTTATTATGACATCTAAACAGTCAGCTAAAAGCTTTTATTTACCTCTAAGTACTTCTTTTTTTTACAACATCAAAACTCCTCACACATAAGAAGTCTTCCCCAAATTAGTGTACTCCAATAAGTAAACTCATTTTCCACATTATGGCCCAATCATTACAACTGTCACACTTTGGTAAAGGATATATATTTTTCCATACAATTAATTCATTCTTGCCATTTAGCACCATTAGTAACACTGAAAATAGTATCTAAAAACTATCTAATTTCTTTGATAAAGACTTAAGCATCTCATTCATCACATAAATGCCTGTTTATTGACTCTTGTTAATCTCCTTCTGAGGTATTGTTGTTTCTCTCACACATCAGTCATTCACATCCAGTTTCAATGTAAATGCCTGATGTAAATAACAAAAAGACAAGGGGCTTAAGTTCTTCATAAAAAAAGAAACAACATATCACCCCAGGAGGCTTTGGGTTTCCTATAAAACATAACATAACAACCAAAGACAACAAAGGATCATTTGGTCCTTTACTTTACTCTTTCTTATTTGAAACAATGATATTACTTGTATGGACATAATTAGTAAATTACTAAAAACTGTTGATAACATTAAACTCTGGTGTGTTTCTAGCTGTATTGAGAATGTTAAGGTCTTGAATGACTTGAATCAATTGATAATTTAGTAAAATGACCTTTAATTAAGAGTAAGTGCAAGGAAGTGAATTTATTCTCTAAACTCTCCTGAAGTACAGTATGCAAAGTAAACTCACCACAGCATTTTAAAGTACCCAGAAGCTTCAACTTGCTAATGATTTAAAAGCCATTAGACTATGAAAACAGCAAAACTTTAACACACAGAATATACCACATAATACACAGCTTATAATTAAGGAAACATAAATTACTTATTCCATAAACATTATGCACATATTCTCAGCATAATCAATATATATAACACACAGAAAACAAGAGAGCATTTGGTCATTCAAGGCTGAAAAAATAAAACATTCAAACCATGTTTCACTTTTCAGGAATTTATCAATTACCCTCTTAATGTTGCAGCCTCCACTAGTGTTGATACAAGCTCATTCCATAAGCCAATTTCCCTGTTAGAAAAATAAAACTGTCTTTTCAAATCTTAAACGTGTTATCTCATCCCACTGTCTTCAAAATATAGCACACACAAATGAGGTCTTTATAAGATTTATGGTCAACACAGACCACGTTAGTCCATTGAGGTTGTCCCATCCATTAAACTATAAAAAAATATAAACCTCAAAGCTAGCCCTTATCATTTTAACATTTATCGATGATGAAAAATACTACCACAGAAGTGTAGTGTAACAACATTCCATGTTGAACAATTTCCTACAGTAAACATAAAATTATAATTCCAAATAGCCACCTCAATGTTAAATGAAAGTTTATGTATTATGATAATAAATATGCCCTTTTTGATTTCCTAATTTATATTTTAAAATATCCATACATTTCCTATAAATCTTTCATCTTATCTGTCAATTTAAACTTTTTAAGCTTATGATATTTATCCATGATTTTCTCCTTTATGTCTTCAGTATGCCAATTAGACTTGATCTTCCCAGTTAGCTTTTTTTTAGGAAATGTCCATCTTGGACTAAAAGCAACTTATTTCTAAAAGTTTTCCAAATTTAGCCCACATCCCCTTTTGAGTCATTATCCCAATTCACTAATGATTAACCTTATCTCATGGCTTCAAAACTGACTATCTGAAAATTGGGAATGAAGAAATGTTTTTGTATTTCAACATGTATTAAAACATCAAACTTAATTGAATAATGATCACTCTTCCTCAAATGCCCCCCCCCCCACCACACACACACACATAACTCTTGTAACCACATCCTAAGTTAACAATAAATTTTTAATGGTATCTCCCCTGCTTGGTTCTCTGACCACTTGGTATAGATAAACATATTGAATTGCTTCAAGAAACCTCTCTCCCTCATTACTTAACTCCATACATTCCCAATCAGATATCAATCATGGTCATGATTAGTAGCCTATTTGATCATCTAAGTCTAGTTTTTATCCAATGTTTCTGCTGCTAATATGTTGCCATCTTCAAGGAAGTCCTGAGAAGGTCCATTTTTGTGTTGGTAGTGGCCAGTATACAATCCTGGGTCTTCTTGATGAAAGTCTGGTGTGCTACCCATTTGATTAGAGCTTCCTCCAATAGAACTTGAATAAACTATTTGAATATCTTCAAAAGGGATATTCAGGTTTAGCTGATTAATTATTTATTAAGTAATAATTAGACTTTGATGATCATACATAGTACTAACCATTACAAGTGCAATGGTTTTCAAAAATAGACTCCCACATTTACTGCACCAGTAATGCAGTATCCTTTTTATAAATAACCCAACAATCTAATTTTTAAGTTTAAGATTCCTACTGTTATAACATTATGAAATTAAATTGACAATAGTACAGAGAAAAACTACCAAACAAATTAAAGTTTAGTCAATTTCTAAAGTATAACCTTACTTCACTTGGTCAATAAAGTATAAATAGCATAAACCATGAATTATAAGTCTTAAATAATATTTAATGTTTTTATACGACCAGGCAAACATTAATACTAATAATAAGTATTTAAATTGTGGGTTACTGTTAAGTTAAAAATAACATATTGTAAGTTATAACAATTTTTTAATATCTAACTAGAAACTAAGTGTAAATTCAAATTACATTTGTAAAATTGTGGTAACTATCATATAGTGATATACGGTACATGTCGTTTTCATATCAAATAACAGCGCTCAAATTACTAACGTAATAAGACATAAAAACTTCGTTTTTGAAATATCGCTTTTGAATAGGTGAATTATTTTAACTTATTAACATTTCAAAAGGTCACACAAACCTTAACCTTAACCATCACAAGTTTAGAAGTTGACACCTGGAAAGACAACTTTCAGTACATTCCCACCAGAGGGCCATGCTATATGATTGAGTATCTGATATATACAGGTGTTATTCGGCTGTAACTTTGTAAATGAGATTTATAAAATAGAAAACACTTTCAGCAGCACAAAAATGTAATTGAAATATCAGTTTTATTATTGCTCACAGCCCTTCACTTGAGTTACAAAACATAAAGAAATGATATTTGTAAGAACTTATGAGTGAAAGCAAAGTGTAACGGATGATATATCACCCTCACTACATCAGCCATATCGAATGTCGACAAGATCCTTCGCACAATACCATAGATAAACAGGCCAGTTGGGATACGACAGACATAGTACTAGTCGACGTGCTGTTTATATCATCAGTCTCGTGGTATTATTTTTTAAACTGTTTCCAGTAAAAGCTAACAGAGGACATAAACATCTTATCTAATCGGCGAAACTTTAGACTCCAGTGGGTATAATATTTGTGATAGAAAAATGCAGGTATTTTTTCTTCTTAGATTGTCCGTTTGAAATCCGAAAAATAGCCTTTTAAGACTGAGGTAATATTAATTGTTAAAAAGTGCCTTACAAGAAACAGTTAGCGAGTACTCCTTTATTTTAATTGATGGAATGTTCGCCTGGAATGTAAAATGTTTCGGGTGTGATCTACGATGATACGAATAATTAACTACTATGACTGTATTCTCGACTTGTTGTGCTTACTAATTATGGGGTTTTGAACTACATCACAAGTAATGAAATTTAAATAAATTTGTCTTTAACATATTCTTTTTTTTCTCTCCTCCAAACAGTTTTGAAAATTTGGGATGAATGCTTAACAAATATAAATAGAAGTATTTATAGAAATTTTTTTTATATCTTTTGTATTCTTGATTATTTGTAATGATTACTGATATAAATAAAGACAAATTCTTATTAAACTGTATGTGAGTTCTCAGACCAAGTATGCAAATGCAACCACTCGTGACATCCATTCACTGTGATTTTTAAAGGTTTTTAAAATTTTTCATAGCTTAGTATGTGCTATACAAGCTGTACTATAGAACGTACTATACTGTTACGTCTCCGTTTGTTAATTAACTTTCCGTAACTTCGTTCCGACGAAACTTTAGCGACAGAAGTCCTTACTTAATAAAACTTGTTTATTCTTTCCGAATATAACTTTACGATACACTTAATTTCAACAATCGCGCTAAAACAAACGTTATAACAACGAACGTGCTCAATAATACTCTCTGACTGCAGATCAATTACTCACTGTCTACACACACACTGTCCTGTCACGTTGTGACCATCTTTTATATACCAGACTACCCTATATCTAGTAAATGCTAGGGCATTCACCAAGGTACAGGATAGTTCTAGAAACGTGGCGTGACACTAGTCATGTGACCTCGCTGACGCAACACTGCCCCTTCCTTAGTATTGTTCGTCCCGAACAATACCCACATACAATAAACCAATAACAATTAACAAGAACTTAATTAAATGTACAGAATTACAAACACAAAATTACAATTCAACAAAGTCTCTTAATTTTACGGGACGTGTCTTCTTCCGTACTGGTCT